CCACGCGACAGCCGATGTAGCATGAGATGTTAGTTAGTTGTGAATGTCATGGTTGTATGAGGGCTGATATATTGCTAGGGCACCCACACCTAGACAGGAAAACGATTAGGGTCGTCAACCAAAGCCTTTGGCTTAAAATTTTAACCGCAAGGCAGCGGTGTTGGGTTGGAAATGCAAGTACATTACCACTTTTACATAACACGTCGCCACAAATGCTCCGATATTCAACCTAGAGGGCCGAGAGACTGTGCTCGTCAGACCTCTACCCATGGACCGACCTGGTATGGGAGACTCTGTGAGTATCGCGCGGACACCCTCCAGTATAGTTCAATGGGTCGCCGAGGTACACAAACCGCCACAGCACGGTAAGATCCAGTCTCTTTGTGAGTTCACGACTGTCTTTTGGTGGGTGACCTCCGAGTAACCCGGTGTGTGCGTTTGTGTTGGAAGTCCGCACTGGCCAGGAACAGACAATAATTTACAACAACTGAATAAGCCGCTCTCCATGATCCGTAGGCTCAGCATCGACTTTAAATCAACCATCTAACTGTGCTCCTTCCGGATCTAGTCGTCGAAATGGGACATTTATATCATCCGCCATGATTATTATATCCGTCCTTTCTGTTGACTGAAGCAGTTGTAACAGATTTTGATAAAACTCGTCCTTCTCAGTCTCAGAACTGCTATCTGTTGGGGCGTATGCTGATACCATAAACAAACATCATTTACCGCATCAACCTACGTTAATCCTAATTGAGCCAGACGACCGCACAACGCAAAGTCGACTGTTTACTGGGACCCAGTCCAGCAAGGCGCTTTCAGCCTTGAGCCTGAGTGCAACTCCCACACCGTAAATACCATGAGTCATTGTGTCAGGGTCACCGGATGTCAGAAGAGTGAAATTTGGAGCATCTGGGCTCGTTCCAAATGGCGTGAAGAGCACGACCGAAGGGGTCTTGTATGTGTGATTCGGAGACACAACACACATCGATATAGGGGGAAAGTAAGGTTTCCGCGAGGTATGCCTGTTGCCCGATTCGACATATAGTACGGACATTAAATGCCGCAACGTGGATAAGACCTTTTGAGGTTAGTAGGTGATTATTTTGGTTTTCTTCTGGGCGATGTTTGAGACACGGAACAATGGTTAGGGGATTGGCAAATGGGTTGATTGCACTGCATAGTACGATGGGTCGGGAGGGAATGAGAGGGGAAGGCCGGTGAGCGAAGAGCTGCAAGGGCAAATGATACTTCTCGGTGGCCCAGGTCGAAGAAAGAGGTTTTGTTGAGGTACCCCACCTTGAGCCTTTGACCGAAAAGTCTGACCCACAAGGCAGTGAGAGGATGTAGGGTTTTGTTCGGGGATCCTGCCCCCTCTGACTCAAGAGTCTGGACCGCGAGACAGCGGTTGTTAGGGTTTTCTTGGGAGACTCTCCCCGGAGCCTATGACTCAATAGTCTGACCTAATTGGCTGTAGGGGGCGGTCTGGCCCGAGGGCGCAAGGAGCAGGGCATTATTGTCTCACTCCTGATGAGGCTGCGCACAGCAGGTATCTTTTGAGCAGCATTGGGCTCTTTGATTTAAAAGTATTTCGACCGTACTGAATAGTGCGCCGGTGGCCACGGTCAACCGCTGGGCGATCAAAGTGCGAATTTTCTTGGGACCGACCTTTTCTAACCTGTCCTTTATCGGGGGGAGGCAGCCTCGCTGCTTCCATAAATATGAACATGTTAGTCGCCCGGGAGAAACGCCTTACTGCCTTTACACTCCTACCGCAGCGTACAGTATGACTACCTCCAAACCGCCTCGTAGTATGATTACTCGCAGCACAGGGACTCACTGTTCTTCGTCAGGCTGCCCCCCCGTTGGGCTTTCTGACATGGCTGAACCTTTGGAACTGAGTTCCAGTCAGTATAGCCCGCGAGATCATTGCGGCGCAGAAGCCCGACCACCAAAAGGTAACAGCTTTGGGTCGGAGTTTCGTTGCCAAATCATAGACCGACCGCCTCCCCGCCGTTTCCATCAGATACAAGCTTGTCCGAAGTGGGCTCTATAAGGCAAAAGGTCTTCTGGCACACGAAGTATGTAGCCCGGCAAGCGTAACCCGCAGTGTGACAAGCTGATCAATCCATGGAAAGTGAGCTTCTCTGAGAACCACGTAGCGTGCTTCAGTATTACTGATCTGACGTTTTCACTAGACTCGCACAATGTTTCAAAGGCAGAGTCTCCAAATATAATCCCCGTGCAGCGATCACGTCTCTAATCCGGGAGGTAGGACAGATCGGACTGCGATATTGTAAGCTCTACCCTTGACAGTCAGCCTGGTGTCAAGTCGGCACCACAGATGCCGGGTTAGCAAATGCTTTCTCGGTCCTTCCAATCATGGGAGTCTTCCGCCAGTCCACCGGAACTTATGCGGCTGCCCAGACAATCATGGGAGTCTTCCGCCAGTCCACCGAACTTAAACGATTTTGCTAAAAACATCGATAGGTTTAGCTACAAGCACGAGGTTTAGGTTTGATTTCACCCTACATTAAAGTAGCACTTTACACCGTACAGATGCAAAGCGCATCCCAAACTGCGCAGAATTGTTTAGGTTATTCACGATTGCTTGAAATTCTTGAGGATCTGATTCGGGTAGCTGCCAATTTTCACGTATTTTGACCGCCGCCTTTATCCTTCACTGATCTTCCGGGCACAGGTCTCCGAGGATCCTGTATGATCAGCAAGTTGGACGATAGATACGAGACGAGAACCTTAGGTTCGTCGTCAAACCCCGACACCACCTTTACTGTGTGAGGGACATTGCGGACGCCTGTTCCCTTTTTTCCAGGACGAAGGGCTGATTTGATTTGTAAGTCTCCTATTCAAATGTCAGTGACTCATTTGGAGAACCACCCCAGTCACGCCAGAATCCCACTGGAGGGGCAAAAAGCGCCGAGCTGGTGCTCGATCCTGATTGGCTCATATTCTATCCAATCATGGTGGCCTTCTTTTGATCCATGACTGATGTGCACTATCCCTATCGACATGATGTTTGTAGACTCCAAAATCGTTGTTTCCGAACCATTTCTAGATTATAAGCAATTTAGATTTATTTATCCCGGTTTGCTGTAGCATGATCTTTTTCACTTTCCAAGAATGGGCCTCTATCTTTCTGTACTGCATAGGTCAGTTAGACTGGTTTCTCCTCATCGATCCTCCTGAAGTCACAAAGACCAAACCATGATCGAGTTCAGGACGACGGTATCCGGTACAAAGGTATCTAAACCAGCATTCTTTTTGGATGTAAATGAAGCGCGCGCACTTGCGCAATTTGTCGCCACTTATGTTGTGCCGAAATTCCGGCAAAGTGCGAAGCACGCACTTTCAGTCACCGAGTGCCACTATAGTGCAAGCCACTGCCGCACACCGGAGCACAGGATGCGCGTGATGCGATTAATCAAAACGGCCTGTTTGTAGGTTTGTTTGTGTCGATGTGGAGAATTAAGCGGACTTCACTCGGTGTGGCTGAATGAAAAGGAGATTTCTCTCACTTTCAACTTCCCCGTGCCTTTAGCCAGAAACGAACAGAATATTTTCCTGTTACCTGGTGTGTGTACGCAGTCAGGTCCAAACCATAGCCTGCTTCTGGATGAAGCCCGTCAGAGGGACGTTTGCAGGGTGTTCACTCTAACACACCCCTGAAGTCGGAAAATCGCTTAGCACCAAGAATCGATCACTAGGAATCGGGACTTTGGTCTGTCAACCTTCCAAATACCAAAACTAACCAGAGGCCGGAACTTTGGTAGCCTTCATATGATATTTTAGGTGGCGCTGTGAGCCTTCCCTGAAA